CAGTCCAAAATGAACCCCAGAAAATGCCAAATCATCACCTTCTTTTATCCATCAAGAAATCCAAACATAAATTCCAGCAATTTACGCTAATCGAGGAGGAGATTACAATACCTCCACCTGTCTAAATTGGACAGGTGGTGACGTGCGGCAATGGAGGAGATATGCACGGCTGTGGAGCTGGTGGAAGTCGACAGGTCAGCGGCTGCGGGCAGCGCTTGGGCGAGCCAGTGACGCGCGTGCGAGGTGGAGCTGGGAAAGGGAGAAGGTCGCGCGAGAGAGGATCTGGCCGTGGGCTGTGGCGGCGTGCGATGGTGGCCTGGAGGCGCAGTAGAGCTTGGAGGCGGTGGCGGAGCTTCGTGCGCGCAGCTTGTGGGCGACGGTGGCTCTGGTTGCAGACGAAGCTGGAGGAGAGCTGGTGTTGGAGCAGCGGAGGCGCGCAAGGAGGAGAAGGTGAGATGGTGGAGGTGAGTTGAAGTGCGGCGGGCGCGCGGGGTAGAGCTGCTGTGGTGGTGGAGCTCGATGATTTGGGTAAAAGGGGCGGCGGCCGAAAGAAGAAAAGAAGGAAAAGGGAAACAGGTGCAGCGGGGAAGAAGGAAGAAGGAAGAAAGAAAAGAAAGAAAGAAAGAAAGAAGAAAAGAAAGAAAAAAAAAAGAGAAAAAGAAAGAGTTTTTTTTTTCCCAAAACCTTGTTTCTTCATTTCTCCGAATTTGTATTTCAAAATTCTAAATTGTTGAAAAGAAAACAAAAACTCAAGGTTTAAAAAGAAAATTTCGTTGAAAATGTTTTTTATTTATTTTTTTGAGGGTTTAAAAAGAAAATAATCTTTCCTTTTTCTTTTGATGATAGTAATAATAATAATAATACTGAATAATTAATAATAATTTCTTTTTTTTTTGAATTCATGTTTTGGGTCGTCAAACACCGCGTGGGCATGCCAAGATTACAAAATATCCACTGACCTCAGGAGACACAAACATCGCGTGGGCAAGCCAAGATTAGTAAACGTCCTCTGACCTCAAGGGGTACAAACACCGCGTGGGCACACCAAGATTAGTAAACATCCTCTGACCTCAGGAGGTACAAACACCGTGTGGGCACGCCGAGATTTCACTTCCTGATCACAGTGGAGGAAATATTAATAATGATACTACCCAACGGGGAAACGACAAAACGAAAGAAATGAACAACTAAAAATAATAAAACTAATATTCGGGTTGCCTCCCAAACGAGCACCTTTATTTAGTGTCTTTGACTAGACATAGCCCATAATTTGCTTAAATCAAGCAAATCGGGTCCTCTAAATGCACCGTCTCCACCCGTTCAACTGGAATCCCATCATAATATGGCTTGAGACGATGACCATTCACCACAAATTTCTTCTCCGTCCTTAAACTCTGGATCTCCACTGCACCATAATCACCATAATCAAAGACAATAGTTACAATGAAGGGACCGATCCAACGAGAACGTAACTTACCTGGAAATAACTTCAATTTCAAGTAGTACAGTAGAACTTTTTGCCCACATTCAAACGTCTTCCTAGAGACCTGCTGATCATGAAATATCTTATTCTTCTCCTTATAAATCACAGCATTCTCGTAGGCTTCGTTGCGAATCTCCTCCAATTCTTATAATTGTAACTTTCTTTGAATTCCGCCTTCTTCGATGTCCATATTGCATTGTTTAACTGCCCAAAATGCTCTATACTCGAACTCGACGGGGAGGTGACATGGCTTCCCAAATACCAAACGATAAGGGGACATGCCGATTGGCATCTTGTACGCCGTTCTATATGCCCATAAAGCATCTTCAAGTCTCATACTCCAATCCTTCCTATCGGGTCGAACCATCTTCTCCAAAATCGACTTGATCTCTCGATTTGATGCTTCCGCCTGACCGTTTGTCTGAGGATGGTAAGAAGTGGAGACTTTGTGCAAGACACCGTATCCCCTAAAAAGTGCAGCAATCGTCTTGTTGCAGAAATGGGTACCCCGATCACTTACAATTGCTCGCGGCATCTCAAAGCGGACAAAAATATTAGATTTGACAAATTCTGCAACCACTTTGGAATTATTAGTACGGGTGGACTTTGCATCCACCCATTTCAAAACATAGTCTATGGCAAGCAATATATATAGAAAACCATAAGACGAAGGAAAAGGGCCCATAAAGTCAATGCCCCAAACATAAAAAATCTCAACAAAAATCATTGGGGTTTGGGTCATTTGATCCCTACGAGAAATATTACCTACTCGTTGACACTTATCACATGACTTACAAAATGAGTAGGCATCGTTAAAGAGGGTCGGCCAATAGAACCCACTCTCTAGAACCTTACGAGCCATCCTCTTTAGTCCAAAGTGACATCCACATGCAAAATAGTGACAATAAGCTAAAATAGATTGGAATTCATTTTCACTTACACATCTACGAATGATTTGGTCGGCACCACGCTTCCAGAGGTAAGGGTCATCCCAGATATAAGACTTTGCGTCACTCCTTAACTTGTCTCTTTTTGCCTTAGGCCAGCCTGCAGGAAACTTGTCAATAACTAGAAAATTAACAATATTTGCATACCAAGGCAAGGATAAATTAACAGAAAATAAGTGCTCGTCGGGGAATGTTTCTCTCAGTGGGAGGTCATCCTCGATGACTTGTACCCTACTCAAGTGATCTGCTACCAAATTTTCTGCCCCTTTCTTATCTCTGATCTCCAGGTCAAACTCCTGTAGCAACAGTATCCACCTTATAAGTCGCGGTTTTGCCTCTTTCTTGGTCAACAAATACTGCAAAGCCGCATGATCAGAGAAAATAACAACTTTAGCACCAAGTAAATAGGATCGAAATTTCTCTAAAGCAAAAATTACAGCTAAAAGCTCCTTTTCGGTGGTCGAATAGTTCAACTGAGCTCCGTTTAAGGCTCGAGATGCGTAGTAGATAGCATGGGCTGCCTTCCCCACTCTTTGACCCAGCACCGCGCCCACTGCATAATCACTGGCGTCGCATATGATCTCGAATGGTAGGTTCCAATTGGGCGGTTGGATAATGGGTGAAGAGATCAATAGCTCTTTTAACCTATCAAACGCCTTCTTACATGCCTCATTGAACTCGAAGGGCACCTCTTTCTGCAAAAGTTGGAACAGAGGCGCTCTAATTTTAGAGAAATCTTTGATAAATATTCTGTAGAAACCAGCATGATCCAAAAAAGAACGCACTTCCCACACACTCGCAGGGTAAGGTAAAGTAGATATAACATCTATTTTTGCTTTATCAATCTCAATACCCCTAGACTACACCACATGACCCAAAACTATCCCGTGCTCGATCATAAAATGGCATTTTTTTCAATTGAGCACAAGATTAGTTTCTATACATCTAACCAAAATTAATTTCAGGTTATCTAGAAAGTTATCGAAACTTTCTCCATACACACTGAAATCATCCATAAAAACCTCAATAATCTTCTGAACATACTCCGAAAAGATACTTACCATGTATCGTTGGAAGGTAGCAGGTGCATTGCATAGCCCAAATGGCATCCTCCGGTATGCAAATGTTCCAAACGGGCACGTGAAGGTTGTCTTCTCTTGATTCTTGAGGGCGATAGCAATCTGGAAATAACCTGAGAATCCATCCAAAAAATAGTAGTAAGTTCGACCTGCTAATCGCTCTACCATTTGATCAATGAAAGGAAGGGGAAAATGATCCTTTTTCGTGACAGCGTTTAACTTCCTATAATCTATACACTGCCGCCACCCGGTGGACTTTCGAACTGGTACGAGCTCACCCTCTTGGTTTGACTCTACCGTCACTCCTGTCTTTTTTGAAACCACCTGTATCGGACTCACCCAGGAGCTATCTGATATAGCAAAAATTATCCCCACATCCAACAGTTTCAGGATCACTTTCTTCACTACCTCCATCATGAGAAGATTTAGTCTCCTTTGAGCCTGTCAAATAGGTTTAACACCCTCCTCGAGTCGAATTCGATGCATACACACCGCTGGGCTAATTCCCTTGATGTCAGCGATGGTCCATCCTATTGCCTGCTTATGGTCTCTCAAAACCCGAATTAATTTGTCTTCCTAGACTTTTGATAAACTGGCGGAGATAATCATTGGGAGTGTCTCCCCCTCACCCAAGTATGCATACTTTAGGTGTTTCGGCAACGGTTTCAACTCCAAGACAGGCGCCTGCACCACAGATGAAAGTAGCCTTTGGTGAGATTCAGGTATAAAAATGGGTGCGAGATCATACCTTATTTTTGTGGTTGGCAATGTCTTCAATGCTCTAATCACACATCTGAGCTCTTCACTTAGCTCTACCCCAGCGGTCATTTTTGACTCGAGGTGCCTGGTCAAGGCGACTTCCAACTCATCCCTGCCTTCAATTTCAAAAACTTATCGTACAGCAGGGTCAATAACATTTATAGAGAAAACAGAGCCAGCATGTGATTCTGAAGGATATTTCATAGATTCGAAAATGTTAAAATGAACAACCTTACCATCAAATTCCATAGATAGGGTACCCTTGTTAACATCAATTTTAGTTCGAGCTGTGCTCAAGAAGGGTCTACCTAACAGTAAAGGTGATGGGTCGTGAGAGTATTCATCATCCATATTAAGCACGTAAAAATCAGCAGGGAAAACCAATTCATTAATTTTCACTAAAACATCCTCAATCAACCCGTCAGGGTATGCATTGGTTTGGTCTGGCAATTGGATTATTATTCCAGTCTATTTTAAAGGGCCCAAATTCAAAGAAGCATATATAGACTTGGGCATTACATTAATTGAACCTCCTAGATCTAACATAGCCTTTCCAATCAAGGTATTGCCTATCCTATAAGGAATAGTGAACATACCTGGGTCCCTGCATTTCGGTGGAAGCTTTCGTTGCAAAATTACTGATACATTTTCCCCCACTACCACTCTCTCATCTCCCTTCAACCGCTTTCGGTTGACATACAAGTCCCTCAAAAATTTTACGTATCTGGGTACCTATTTAATCGCATCTAAAAGGGGAATATTGATCTCCACCTTGCGAAAGATCTCTAGGACCTCTTTCTCCTTGTCCTGATTCCTTGGTTTCTCCAATCTACTTGGGAAGGGAGGTGGGTTGGTTCTAGCTGGAATGAGTGGGTCCGGGATTACCTTTGAATTTTTATTATCTCTGCCCTCCTCTTCCAACTCTTTCTCAATTTGATTTTCATCATTGTCCTTAGGAATTAACGGGTCGGGTCCTTGGATCTCCTTGCCACTTCTCAAGGTCATGGCTCTCACATTCTTCGGGTTCAACTCATGTTGAGATGGCAACTTTCCTTGAATTTGGGACTCCAACCGATTGAGCGTGATGGCTATTTGATTTACTTGAGTTTGCAATGATTGCACTTGTCCCCACTGATTTTTCATTGCTTGTAGGTCTGAATCCGTCTTCTGTTGATTCGCAAGTAGTTGCTTCATCATTTCTTCTAGAGACGGACTTGAGTTCGAAGGGGGTGGTGATGGGCGAGGCTGGTATTGCTGTTGATGCCCTTGCTGTCTATTCGACATGAAATTAGATGGCTTGTTCCCCCCATAACTCAAGTTGGGGTGGTCCCTCCAACCAGGATTGTAGGTACTTGAGTACGGGTCGTACTGCCTTCTTGGCGCAGGCGTGTGGCCAGCCATGTTCATCTGCTCTGCATTTTCTTCTTGAACTAGTGGGCACATCTCTGTAGAATGGCCCAAGACAGCATATACCCCACACACCTTGGCTTGCGAGGCACTTCCCACAACTAACTGCCGCATGAAGGATGTCAATTCAGAAATTTGTTATTGGATGGAGGATATTTCCACCTCATTCACCTTACGTGTCGGGACATCCTCCCTAGTGCCAAACTGCTGCGAATTTTCAGCCATCCCCTCTATCAACTCCCATGCTGCCCGAGTCTTGTTCACTAAAGCCCCTCTACTTGCAGTATCGATTATACTCCTGTCTCTAAAAAGTAGCCCCTCATAGAAATATTGGATGAGCAGTTGCTCTCTTATCTGATGCCGAGGGCATTTGATACACAGCTTCTTAAACCTCTCCCAGTACTCGTAGAGGTACTCGCCTGGGTGTTATTTGATGCCGCATATCTCATTCCTTAGGCTTGCAGCTCGAGACGCAGAGAAATATTTGTCTAAGAATTTCTTTTTCAACTGGTCCCACGTGGTGATACTACCTGGTGGTAAGTAGTACAGCCAGTCCTTCGCGGAGTCCTTCAAGGAAAAGGGGAAGGCCCTCATTTTTATCTGCTTTTCTGTGATTTCCGGGGGCTTCATACTGTTGCATACGACGTCGAACTCCTGCAAGTGCTTATAGGGTTCCTCACCTGGTAAACCATGAAAAGATGGTAAGAGGTGAATTAGACCAGATTTCAACTCAAAAGATGTGTTATCATTTAAACTTGGAAAAGTAATGCACAAAGGTTGCTGATTTAAATTAGGCGCAGCCAACTCCCTTAGTGTTTGTGCATTTGCCATGGTGGTTTCCTCTTGATCCAAGTCGCTCGAAGTGTCACCAAACGAATCTGCTCGTTCAGCTTTTGGCTTAGGTCTCTGAGATACGGCACTGGAGTGCGTCTCTCTGAGCTATCTGGTTTCTTTCCTCGTTCTACGCACGGTCTTCTTTACTTCGGGAACGAAAATTAATTCGCCTGTATAAAAAGATCGAGGCATAAACTAGAAAAATACCAGAAAATTAGAACAAAATTAAATTAAAAAGAAACAAATAATTAACGCCAGTCCCCGGCAATGGCGCCAAAAATTGACAGGTCGTCGAGCCTATGCAATAATAAAAATAGAACCTAACTACCACTAAAAGCAGACAATAATTAATCCTAAGTACTGGAGCATGGACTCTAGGTGTGCAATGGGTTACTTGATTCACCCTGTTCCCGAAGAGTTTGCTTAATCCGATATACCAGGAATAATTAGTTGACAAAAATTACTAAATAATAGACAGTGGCAAGTAGGGTCGTCTCCTTAGGGATTGGGGATATTTGTCTCTTTTAAATTCCAATTGATAAGGGGGGATTTCACTGGAATGAAACTAAAAACAATTAAACAATTCAACTAAAAATAAATAAATAACTAGCACGAATATAGCAGGAATTAAATCAAGAATAGATAAATTCTACCCAAGGATACAACTACTCAGACACAATCTATTTATCCGATCATTGACACAAGAGAGATTCACTTAATTTATTAATAGGCTAGTTATAGTCGCCGATGAACTCTAACGACCAATTTTTTCTTAATTTATAAATAACCAAGGTATGACCATTGATCACCTCTAACCAGAAAATACTCCTAGGTACAACCGTAGGAATTAATTTTTCAATTGCATTAATAACTAGAAAAACCTAACCCTAACCAATAACACGCTACGAGGATTATTTAAATTAGATTGCACGTTCCCCTAATGTGTAAACACACCAGTTGCCACTAATATTAATCAATCAAACAATTACGGATTTAATTGATTAAATTGGCACGAGATTAATAAATCACATTGAACATCGGGCCCTTGACATCCAATTAATAAAATAATCCCATGAAAATTCAAGCAGACAACGTGCAAATATTAATAAATTGAGAAACGCGTGAAAACTAATTAGATCTCACAGATTTTTGGGACTGCGCCGTCGAGTTGACATTTGACTAGATGGAAGGCTTAGCCACGCCGCATAAATAAATCTCCACGCAAATTAATTGATTGCAAAGGCATTGCGTTTTTTACTAGAAAGCAAGGAATAAAAGAGGTTTTTCCCGTTGGGAAATATTGTCGAGCACTTGGCATGTGTTAAAGGCTAGTCAGAAGAAAGAAAACTAAAAACTATGCTAGAGGCTAAAACTAGAGCCGTCCTTCTGCTTCTGTACGTTTTCTCCTCTTAAAGAAACAAAAGAAAGATGACTAAAAGCTATCTAAGTGGTCCCCACGCAATTGATAGTCAAAGCTCCCCAAAGGAAAGGCCTGCCGAATTGCTTCTTGTTCTTTTCAAGTCTCTGTACGTTTCTTTCTTTGAATAGCCCAAACGACTCAATGACTCTCACTAGTTTGTGGTTCCCGCCGATCCAAGGGCCCAAGGATTAGAGCCCTTAGAAGTCTCAATTTTCTCCAGAAAGTCCCTCCTTTTTGGTAGTTTTCTGCTTCATTCATTGAAATTAAATCCAGATACCAAATATAAGTAGATATCAATAATTAACACAATATTCGACAGGGATAAAAGGGGAAATTAATAATAAAATTACTAACAAATGATACCTATCAATAAGATAAGGTTGTTGAAATAATTCTATTGATTCTTATCAGAATTAAGCATTCAGTTAGAATTCTTATACTGAAAAAAATACACAAGTTCAGCAGATGGATTTTTATTTATTAAATACTCAAAACATCTGAATATCTAAAAAAGTTCAATTTCACCACTTTTTTATGTTATCAAACAGACCTAAGTCTATATGCCTCATGAGCAATAGCCAATGTGGGTTTTGAAATACATCATATGCTATAATTTTTTTTTACTAGATTTCTTTTCACCCTCCTACCTCACTTCATACCCTTTCAACCCTCAACTATCACAAGATTCGAATCCTAAACCTGATAATAAAAAAGATTCTAAGAGTCCTCCCTTCTCCACAAGGCTGACTCTTGTGACTATCATAAGATATAAATTTATTTGATCAGATTGTGCATAGTTTCCATTGGCAATAGTTTTCTGGACACTTTTTATTTGTGTCTTTTCAGCTCCACTAAGCACTAAGAACTATTTTTATTCCAGTGTGCATTAACACAAGGGTTGATTGCAATTTATCCTTTTAAGACATACTTTGATTTTTACTTTATCACCTAATCTTTGTTTCGTGTCACTAAATCTCCTAAGAGACAAAAATATCCCTCTACTATGTAATCTTTTTCCTTTTTTCTCTCTTCTTTTTTTATTCCAAATTAGTTTTCTTTTTTAAAATTTTATTTTTAAGAAAATAATAAATTTCTTTAACAAAAATTTAGGTTGTTGATTCTCTAATCCGCAAAATTGAAAAAAGATTTATATATTTTTTACAAGTCAATTTCATCGATCATCCAATTTTAGAAATTAAGAAACAATTTTTATTTACTTTCTTATAATTACATTATTCACAATCAATTACTCATTTATATGCTAATACCAAACTTTTTGTTGTTTTCCTGCAATGAGTTTTTGCTTATGATGATCTTTTTTTCATTTTTAAAAATAATCAATTATTAGTGTATTCCCTAATATATATATACACACACACACACACACACATACTTATATCATGTGAAACTTTACCACCATCAATTAGAGTGGTTAAAATCAAATCATAGGTTAAATTTTAATGATTAAAGGAAATATACGACTTGAAATACAAAGATGATTAAGAGATTTATGGACATCATCAACCCTTTGGTAAATCTTGAAAAAAAAATTCACAAATTGAACTCAATAAAAAAAAATGGGTCATCAAATAAAGGAATAGAAATCAAAGGTTATTGCAACTGAAAAGGTAAATGATATCAGTATCATGCAATTAGAGAAACTTGTTGGTTCATTACTGATAGATGAAATTTAATTGCAAAAACAAAAACAAAAACAAAAAGAGGAGATGGCGAAAAAAAAAGGCAAGAAATTGCTGCCCTTCAATGCAGTAACGAATAATGATGAGTCCATTGTGAACTCAAATGAGAATGACGGACTTGCAACGGTCACTTGAGTAATCACATAGCTATACAAGAATACAGGAGAATACCGCGAGGAAATCAAAGGAGAAGCTCAAATAGAAAGAGCGAACCTTCAAATTCAAATCCTATATCAACTTCTAATCAAGTATGTTTTTATTGCATGAAACCACTATAATATTTTTGTCAATCTCTTTTTTTTTTTTTTTTTTTTTAAGGAAAGATTTTTTGTTTTTTTATTTCAAAACCAAAAAACAGGTTTACACGAGGAAGCTATTGCCTAACATGTGGAGTTGCTAGCCTATCTAGTCTTACAAGAGCTTTAACCCGACGTGGGAGATCCCCTTCGCCATTGAAGACCGAATCACAAGTCAATTGTGCCGAAGCAAGTGCATCTGCAACCATGTTTGCTTGTCGATAAACATGCCCTAGTGACCCTCCGAGCTCATGAAGCAGAAAACGGATCTTCCGGAGGGCGTTACAAAGCAGCCAACTAGCTGGTGCACCTGAGGCAATCATACGAACGAGAGCTGCAGAGTCAGATTCTGCCCTTACACCTGCTATTGCCCGCTCTTGGCAGTATACCAGTCCTGACAACAGTGCTAGTGCCTCAGCATGAAGCACCTTGACTTCCCCAAATTCCTTGTAAAAAGCAAATATCACTCTCCCCTCGCTGGACCGGACCACCCCTCCTCCAAACGCCCCTAATGATGTGACACTCGCATCCGTGTTCAGTTTTAGTCCCTGCGTTGGTGGCCAGGGCCAAGCAACCAGCATTGGTTGGCGGCACACCCCCACTCTTCTCCTTCCCCTTGCCCAGATACAATCCTCGTCACCCTGAAAAGAGCGCCCTAGCTTCTGCGCCTCCCCCAAAAATTCCATGAGATTCCCAACCTCTCAAATAATATGGTCCGCTCGCATCCTTGCACCCTCAAACCTTGCCTGATTCCTAGAACGCCATATGAACCATAGGGCAGCCATCGGGACCAGCACCCGTATATGATCCACCTTGACCATCCGATGCGAAAGAAACCATCCTACCAGCAGGGAAGAGACGCCATGGCCCCCCTCCACGAGATACCAAACTGCTGTCCAAAATGCCCCCAGACGCTCACGGCCACTGGCCCAGTCACGAACAAATGCTCCACTGTTTCTCGCGCCCCTCCGCAGCAAAAGCACATAGACCCGAGATGGACCCCCTTCCGCTGCAGTTGGTCATCCAGGGGCACCCATCTTCTCACTAGGCGCCAAACAAAGAAAGAAATCTTTGTCGGCAGCGATGGGCTCCAGATAAATTGACTTACCAAAGACACATTCTGTTTTTGTCGGAGGCCCTCCAGCGCCGTCTAAACCGAAAAGTTGCCAGAAGGAGATCCCTCCCAGATCATTTGATCCTTGAGGGGCGGAAAAATTTGAAGTTGGAGTATCCGTGATACATAACAGTCAGTCAGCCAGCTCCGGAGCCGAGCAACGTCCCATCCGTTCTGCAAGAATAGCTCTCCGACTAAAACAACTGGCGTCTGGGGCTTATCCAGGAGCTGCGCCAGCGGCAGCTCGGTACACCAGCGATCCCACCAAAAATCAATCAGGCCTTCTCCCAGACACCAGCGAATCCTTCCTTCCGCAAAGTCCCTGACCTCTAACAGCCGTCGCCAAGACGCGGGGGGCCGAGCAACCATCGCAAGCGCCGGATGTACACCTTTTATGTACTTGCAGTGCATAAATTCTGCCCATGCCGAGTCCTTTCTCCTCAACTTCCACCAAAGCTTGCAGGAAA